GTACTTTCCTTATGGTTTCAAGTGATATACAAAATCCAAAAATAATATTTGTAAGTAAACCTAAACAATAAATGAGTATTTTTATATTTAACTAGGATTTCATGTTTTATATATGTACATAAAAAAACATTTTAATTTTCTTCCATAAATGTATTTTTATTTCAATTTTTTGTTTATGTTTCATTGCAGCCGTACTTTTGTTTGTTGTGCCGAATAAATCGTGAGGTTAGCAGCGTGAACCTCATACATTTACCATAAACTATCATGCCTGTTGGTGGTCACTCTCATTCAGTTCAGCACAGGCGCATTTGAACATTACTGTAGATATGATAGTAAGAAAGCTTTTCGGTACTTGAATACAATTTCTTTGAACTTTCAAACAAATTTATTTCAACATATGTTCTTGTATGTTGTTTCACTATACAGACAAAACTAATTGCCACTACTAGCAAATTTATGTAATAGTTTACAGTATAGGTGGTTTTAATAACACTGCCTGACCCCTTGTTACTTGATACATCCTGTTAGAAGAGATTACCAAATGATACAGACACCATAAATTACAATGAAAATTACTTTACAGCACTTAAAAGATTAGTCCTGATCACATTCCTCTCATTATAGGCAAAATTTATGTTGGAATTCGAAACTTAACCTCTTCAGTGTATTGAGACCCCAACTGTGAGAATGTCGTAGCTTCCCCTGTATTATTGAGATGAATGTATTTAGTCTGTTTCACAACCAACATATGTTTTAAACCATTTGCAAAATATCAGAATAAACTTTATATATATCAGTTAGACTGTTTTAATTCTAAAGCAACAACAACAGAAGTGTGGGTCTTACTATGAAGTAAAAATAGTAAGAAGGAAAAATATAAAATTGTTATTTGGTACTGGTACTAGTAGTAGTACGTACAAATCACACAAATTTAGCATTCTAAATACTAAATCATATTTTTATTATGAATTAAATATAAAATTAAACTAAATTATTGAACTTAAAACTACTAATTTAAATGCAAAAGAACATAGCAAATCATAAACTCTTAGTTCAAAGTGCTAAGCCTAATTCACATGAAGACCATGCACTCGGCACTCGATTGATT